AACGAGTCCTTCCAGATCATCGATTTCAGGTTGCTTGTTGGAGCTTGGCTTTCAATCACGGTCCGCTGGACGAGGGCAATCATGTTCACTAAACTCAAGATCAGCATTGGCTCATCAAAGCTCGACAAAGGACACACATGTACATCCACCTCACAAGTTCTCATTGAGGCGAGAAACAAGTCGTCGACACTGTCTGCATCATGAAATGCATCTCTTGCATAATTCACGAGGCTCATAAGGGACATCTGCGCATAGACCCGGTTGAAATGCTTGTCCAATGTGTGTTGGCGACTTAGGTCGAATGCGGCTCAAATTCAAGCTCCACTTGGTCGTGACGGCTCGGCCTCCCGTGTTTAGCGCCCGAAACGCTAGATCCACTGCTAATGGGCCAGGTCAGTAGCTTGCTTCAGGGGGGTTTCCTGGTCCATAGGTCCCCACTGTCAACGACACCTCCCCTCCATTGTGGCCAATAAGTCCACCACTACTAATATCTCAGTTGGTAGGGTTCCCATTATGGAAAGCCATCTCCTGGTAAGTATTGCACTACCGCCTTGGTGGAAATTAAGTCTGAATGCCATATATTGCGTTCTGCCCGGTGCCAATGTGTCGAACTTGAGCATGGCAGTTTTGAGCAATAGTTCTCGCCCCGGCCAAAGATCGAACTTCATAATGGTGGGATGAGTAATCACGGCCGTCGATTGATGCAAGTCTCATGCAGAAATTCCTGTTTTCTGAAGAGTTGCGCAACTCTGGTGTAGCTGGCGTCCGGAAGACGACACCGAAAGGGACTTGGTGCGCCACGCTCTCCAAACAGCAGCAAGGATGATGGATCCAGTCGCCATCCTGCAGCTTGTCGCTCGAAGTCTGTTGTCTCGACGTCTACTGACATGGTGGCACTGTAACAGGGTGATTGTAGTGGTTGTCTGTCGGTCATGCGTGGCTACCGTGAGCGCTGCTGTGGCGTGTGGCCGTTTTCTTATAACTGGGAGGATGGGTTCGTTGAAGTCGACATGGACGCAAAACCTCGAAGGCGTGCCGTCTCCTGTGGGAAGTCTTGAGAAGTAAGTCCCGTGTCTTTCTCTTCTGCACCTGACTGGTCTCTCGAAAACACATGCTGGTTGGTTGTTGGGTTGGGCTCGTCTCTCCCGAACTTTGCTGATGTTGTTCGCTGCCTCAAGGACCGAGCCCGTCGACTCAGACTTGTGGACTTCGCTTGATCTCTAAAAGAACTTGCAAGTACTCAAAGACCTTGATTTCCGAGTAATGCATTCCGGTTGAAGATGTCGAATCCATCCAAACTCGTTCACGAAATCGCTCACGCCGACCCTAACTGCGCAGCAATTAGTCGCTCGTTCACATTCTTTTCAGTACGACACTCCTTCCTGCGCGTGCTGTCTGCTAGTACATTGCCTCAGATGGGGCCCTCCACACATGTCTCAACATACTGTCCCACTTGTCGAAGTCAAGTCGTACCCGAAGATAGATCCTCGAGCGTGATCCAATTTCCTTCCGTTCTTCCCGCGGCCAATAAAAGTCCTAGGTGATTTGCTTCTTCTCTCCGTCCAAGAGACAGGAGCCAAACCACCTTCATATCGATATAAATCGGACCACGATACACTTCCTTCCAGAGACCCGGAAAGTCGCTGTCGATTTGGTATATATTCTACCTGGGTGATCGTGGAGATAGGAAAGCCGTTAAGAGGCTCGAATGAAAAGTCCGATCGATGCCTTCTTAGGGTACCTAGGTAGTCACTGTTAGTCGATTGTGAGACCGGGTCCCGAAGCGTAGCACAGAGGAGCATAGATAGGTACAAAGCAGGATAGGAAGTCTGCAAGCTAGAAACAAAGCAATGGCCACCCAACACCCCCAAGGCCTCTTTGACTCCAGTGCATTGCCACGATCAAAGGTGGGCACTCGTACCTAGATACTTGGCCTCTGCTGGTGTATCAATACCTGGGCGTGAAAGAGAGGCCAGCGTGGGGTAACAATCCTAGCCTGCTGAAATGTGACATGGAGGAGGGAAACTCCTTCAACACGATCGAGGAACGAGACACTGTGTGGTGCTCGAAACATAGTGACCGCACAGGACACGAGCCCAAGGCGGTCGCTAGAAATTGGTATCTTGCGACTTTCGCTGCCGTAACTCGAAGAGAGTCTCCATTGACGAACATCAGAAGACCAAGAGGCGCACGACTTGATCCCGGATATCCGAATTCAAAACTCGCTGAAACCTGGTGGCCACGACCGCTGTGACTCGCAAACCTGCCAGACATTTGAGAATCAGAAGCAGAAAAGAGATAGGAAATTCAGAGGCGGGAGTTGACAGCTGAACAAATATAGGTGCCCAACGAGGCTTAGACACAGCGAAATCGGTCATTACGCCGTCAGGCTCTGCCCTAGGCCCGACCAGCGCACCAGCTCTTCAATGGTAGATCCGGATCTCTATGGTGAGTGCCTAAAGGGCAGATCACATGAAACTTTCATGGATCCCTACACTAAACTGACAAGAAGCCGTATGGGTTGCCCAGCTTAAACAGCCAACACCATTGCCATCAGGAATTTTCTGGGGATATCTACAGGACAGGGACAAGACAGGTGGCGACCTTTAACCATAGCCTTGTAGGCAGCTATGAGTGAATCTTAGTCTGCGATTAGTGTGCTAGCTGAATAAGGCTGGAGCCTGGGTCCTGGAACAGATGTAGTTGAGCAAGGTTCACGTGCAGCACCGCCTTCCATTACAGGCTTTATATAGTAATACTCTTTGCAATCTAGGTTTAGTAGCTTTTTGTGAAGAAATAATTATGCACTGGCCAACAGTCTGAGAGTAAATGGAAAGAGAAAGCCGGTGGAATTGATCAAATGGGAGATAGATCAGCCATCAGCATCGTTGCAGGTGCCGAGGGCACCACGGTCGACTTGCTAGTCAACCCTTCTATCTCACGCATCGGCGGCCCATGATATTAAGTCCTGACAAGAAGAAGGCCCAGACACCAGTTTGTGACAATGTATCTTTGCTGACTCTGTCGAATTGCAAAATAGTAACTAATCAGTTTGATTTCAAGCTGCTTGCGATTCCCAGACAAACATAAAATGGAACCATGCACCGTGATCATTGGTGACTAAAGTCTGCCAGAAACTTGGCATTTGCCGTAAGGATGGTCAGAGGACTTCTTGATGCTCCTCGCCCACAGCAGCTGATCTCACCACTAACAGCTGCAATCAGTCTTTCCTAGGTGTCCAAATAACCGTTTGGCCCTCACCGGGTGCTGCAAAATGTCGCTCTTCCAGACGCTCTCACCTCCTCCGGCCTGCTACAAGGGATGAAACTGCGTAATGCCCGGAGCTATGCAACGTATACCCTGTATCATTTGCTCTACATACTTGGGTTGTGGCTTGCCGGGGGTGCGATGACGGGGCAGAAGGGAACCGACACAAGAGTAGCCGGAGAAAGTCAAGCGGCTTACTGTGCTTGTGACAGCCGGCTTAGAGGTGTCTCTTCGGAAAGCGGTTAGGAGGGCCTTAGCGCCCAGAGCCTGGAGGGCGTAGTCCAGCTGGTGTTTCCAACCTTGGGGGAAGTATAGACTGGCCCGAATTCCTAGGTCTCCACACTGGGGCTGACCACAGATAAGCGCATGGCGTCCTGGAGACTGTTGAATATATATCGTCGAGAACGGCGTTGCCACTTGCTAAGTGGATCCGAGGTGTATTTACCGTAGGTGTATGCATATCACATCTCAGCATGACCCAGCTTTCAGCCTTGCACATCAAGTTGGTTGCCCGGTCCGCCAGTTGCACAACCACTTGCACAAACTTGGACCTGTACTTGAATCTGATGGCCGACTGCTTATCTTTCCAAACGTTCCTGGTAATGAACCTTAGGATAATAGCTTAGGCGGCCCACAGGAACCTTCACATGATCTAAGGTCTCGGATATATGAGCTTCCTGAACCTGACATGGATCAATGAGACGATCCCACTCTGCATATGTGCTTATGTTGTGCGTGGCTTTTTCAGTCTGGACACCAATGAATTGGCTTACACCCAACTGAGGATTCGATCGTATCCTATCCTACCTATATCTCCCATGCTTCTCTCTGCAAATACAGTTTGCATGCAGGTTCCATCTGGAAGTGTACCGTCTCGAGCGCAAATGAACTCGCCTAGAGCTAGACCATCAGGTTTCCTAGCAAACCCCAAGATTGCCATCACGATTCAAGATACCAACAACAAAAGCAACCGTTAGTAGTCCAAGCTCTATCAGAGAGAGGTATCTAGACACAGCCGGAATTGGGATTCGAAGACAAAAGCTTTGCGTCCCTTCTCGCCAAAGACTCGGCTTGACCTTCTGCAACTGTAACACTATCGTCACCTTCTTCTAGCATGCATAGGTATGGGAGTCGTTGCCGGGCTCTCGTCTTGAATACCTAGGTAGATACAAGGAACAACTTCCGGGTTGAGACGCACGTGACACGGTGTTCAACCAGCGGAAAATGATCTCCAAGGAGCTCCTGAGACGTTGAAGAAGGAGGGGGGGAAGGCAGTGACGAACAGAAACACTCTCACAAAGAGCGATATATGGAGCATTGGCCGCCTTTGTTGTAACAGCACCAAAAGGCCCGATGCATCATCAGAGACGACCGCTGTACTGCACAAAGCAAGGCATGCATTGCATTCACTGCTATGCATTCTAACTTCGGATTCAGTACTTACATTCATACCCTATAAAAGCATAAGGAAAACACAAAGATAACCCTAAATTAATTTCAGTCTTTTAAAACTTTACTTTAGTTATATTCTATTTGCTTTCTATATAAAAAGCGTATTAAAGCTTTATATAAGTAAAATACTATTATATGCTAGATAGCACTTAATGGAGATTACTTATATAAAGCTTTGAAATGTAAATAAGACTAAAACCATAAGACCAAATAAGACCTGGAAGCTCCTCCCATCCTAGGGGCATCAGCCTCCCCGTTTTATTTTTAACGTCGACCAAAAATGCTCACGGCGAGGGTCGAACTCGCGACTTTTGCATATCATTATAAATATCCCAGGGTTTCCCGAGGGTTATAAACGTCATATGATCTGGACTAGCCCAGACATATAAGAGCAACACGCTACCACTGCGTTACGCGAGCTTCGTCACCTACCTGAGTATTAATCCCTCATATAGAGGCTTCTGCTCAAAACGAACATAAGCCACTACACTACTGGGTAACACTCGAGGCTTTTGAAATTTTGATTCAAAATCCAAATTTATAACTACTATAATCTTAGCTTTCTTTTTAAATACTCTGTTACAGCCTTCAAACTATTATTCTATACTTCATGTTTATATTGTTTATTACTTTACCACCCTTCTTTTCAATTCAAGTATAATTAATAGTATCTAATAATTTCGTATATTGAAGAGTATAATACAAACCTGGAGTTCGCGTTTATAACTAGTGGCTTTCCCGTCCCTTATATAATGGAATCCCGTAGCCCGCGGTGCGCACGGCATCTTTGTGCAGAACACTGTTTCCAGTGGGCTGTGTCTGTCTGGAATTCGATGCATTCATCTTTCCATTGTTCGGAGCAATGGGATCACGCTCTCTAAGGATGTTGGACTGGTAATCTGGTAACAGATAGACCGTTTGTCGCATTCTACTTACGTATAAATATGGACGGCTCGCCCAGGTCCCGACACCCAGAATATGACAGGTATGCAAGGTTCCAAAGCTTCCATGGGGAGTGAGCGGCTTGCCATCGACACATATGATAAACTTGTGCGCGAAATGATTCAAGTCTGGGCTGGATACCTACCTAGGTAGGTATGCATGCTTCTCTCTTGCGGGTGTCCTCTCCAGAGACGATTCGCGACTGAACAGACACAGAACATTGCACTTTCAGCAGCTATACATTGGCAAGAACGATGCTTCCATAGCGCAGAATTGTTTCCATACTGACTGTAATTGATATTGTATGGAAAAATCTTGTTATCGGCACATATGGACTTTCACTGAAGAGTCGGTGGCACACTTCCCGCTTCCGTTAAAGGTCCGCACAAGGACCGGAATGTTGTGTGCATGCAGCACAAAGCACCTACAAAGGCCCTTTTCCTTGCGCAAGCTCATCTGCTACTTTCTATATTACATAGAAACTCATTAGCAGAGCATCTATCCAGCTTGACAATGAGCCGGGGAAGGCCCAGACGATATGCTGAACGTAGCACACGACGCCCCCAACAAATCCTGCAATTTGGCCAAGGCCTCCAATGGGCCGATGAATCAAGAAATCTGATCAAGGTATTCCAGAAATACATACACTCTTATAACTTATCTTGAGCCACGAACAGCTAGTCTCATTGCTGTCAAGGAGGTCCGGATTGGGCTGCTCGCCTCAAGACCAGACGTGTCCGAGTGCCCGCCCGACTCACACTCAGTCGGAAAAGACCTTACGGTCGGTCCTCCTGGTTTCCCATTTCTAGATCGCGAGTTCCTTGTAATATTTGGATTCTGGGAGACATTAGCATAAAATAAATGGCACTTAGAAAGATGCCAGACCTGACCTCTCGATTGCGTGCCGTCTCCCGCGTTGATAGAACATAAACATTGAAGAAAACACCACAGCGATCAAAATGCTTGGGAACATCATACAGCTACTATTTTACAGTATTATCTCAAAGTAGAACTTCTTTCACATCCATTCCAGACGTTGGGGGCACCTTGACGTCGCACATACTTGTTGCAATAAGGTATGTCTCAGCCTCCCCAACCCTCGCTAGATGAAGCAGCTATTTGGTCTCGGCTCGTCAAGTTGCAGCCAGAGATGGAACTTCAGTACCAAGTTAATGATGACCATACAGGATCTCAATTTCAATTTTGCAGTTTGCTCCCCGTCCAGCCCATCGTTTAAATTCTCTCGCTCCCGGGGCACACTCTCTTGACCTCGCCGCCAAACTACCGCTCCCCGAACCTTTGTCTTGATGGGTTCAGAACATCTGCAGACGAGGTCTAACTCTCATTGTGGCACAAAATATGTTTCTTGAAGCCTGTCTATCTCTAATAATGAAACAACTTAATCTCCTACTGCTCTTGGTGACAATAATTCCAACTCCCACCGCAGCTTGGTACCGAGGGTTCAATTTCAAGTCTTACACCGCAGACGGCATTACCTGCAAAAATCGCTCGGACTGGGAGTATGATTTCTCATCCGTCAAAAAGCTACCGAATGGCATCAATGCTGCACGACTCTTTCACGCGTATGATTGCGACAGCCTCGTCAACGCCGTACCCGAAGCCATCAATAACGGCATGCAAATTCTCGCAGGCCTTGACGATAGTGATGCCAATTTTTCCGCAGAAAAAGGCGCACTACTTGCTGCCATTTCAAAGCACGGCTGGGACTGGCTCCTAGGCGTGGCCGTTGGCAGCGAATCATTATACCGAGGGACTATTTCCCCGGACAGCCTTGCGGAGAAGATCTGGGACGTGAAGGGCATGCTTAGAAAACTTCCTGGATACACGAGCAGCGTCGAGGTTGGTCACGTTGACACAACCAACGCGTGGTTTGACCATACCAACGACCCGGTGATGGTGGCGTGCGACTTCATCGGGGTAGATATCTACCCTTATTTCCAAACCGAGGACAATAATCACATTTACAACGCGGGTCAGCTCTTCAACAATGCCATTTCACAGGCGATGACAAGTGTCACTGCCGCTGGAAGCAAGGCCAGCGTATGGGTGACCGAGACTGGTTGGCCGGTAACGGGGTCTTCGCTCGGGGCGGCGGTACCGGGCGTGGAAAATGCGGCGTCTTATTTCCAGCAGGTGGCTTGTCCTTCATTTGACCGGATGAATACTTTTTGGTTCACGTATCAAGACTGGTTCGCATCGCCGAGTTTTGCGGTTGTCAATGCGGATGGGCAGCAGTATTTCAGCCAGACTTGCCTATCGACCTAGTGATCTAATATTTAGCGGCAATCGGTGGGGCTTATCTAGGGTTGGGATTTGATCATATTTCTTGTCTTGTCAGTCTAATGGACCTGTTCTATTTCCTCGGGACCGTGCTCATTTTCACCTTGCATTTGAGAGTCGGGCAGGAGAGGGAGACTACACTTATTTTCCAGGTACTTATCATGCGTTCGTGGTTCTAAAACCAGGCAGGATCTTGTCAGTTGCAAGTCAATTAAGCGAGAGTAGAAACATCACAGCAATGATCATCCTAGAAAACTGCGGACATGAGATCTTCGATGGCTCTATAACATTTTAAAAAGCCAGTGCTTTGTCGAATCCTAGTGGGCTCTACCCCAGCTGCCCTGATACGACACGAGACCATACTCCTAGGTTTCTCACAGGAAGATGGGGGTTAGATATTCGGCAAATTCGTCCAGAAGGGGGGGCGGGTTTCAAAATTGACAGTTATCGCTATACCTGAACGAGCACTCAGTCATAAAGTGAGGATGAGTAAGGGAATATTGGCATCCCGCAACGCTAAAGCGAAGATTTGTACTTACAGTGCATTATTACAGGAGCTCTGGTATCACGAAATACTTACAAGCTTTGGCATCCACCAAGGATCTCCCGGAGGGGCGCCATGGGCTTGAAGATCAGGCATGGCTGTTCGACCAGCACCGCGATCTAGCGAAGCCTCCGGCTGAAACTTTCCTGAATAACGCCACACATTCTATTTAGAATAGATATCTTAAGGGGTAAGCCCATTCGGTATCAGCTTACAAGGCGTCTGGATGCCTTAGATTCGTAATCCACGCTATGGCCCAGCATGACGGGCTCATTCCCAGCTGAAGACTTCGAAACGCCCTCTAGATAGGAGCATGCATGTATCACTGTAGTATGAGACAACTGACTCATCCATCAGCGGTACTTCAGCAGCGTTCTGTCGAGAGTCTGGTAGGTGGCGGAGTTGCAGCGTAGGTGAACGCGTCATGAATTCAGCTCAGCCTCCTTCACTCGGCGTACACTAAATTTCAAGTCCCAAGAGATGGCAAGAGGCAATTCGATATCAGCAGACCGCCATAACAATACACTTGCATCCTCCACACCAACGGTAAGCAAAGATCCGGTACTTCGCTAGGTATTGGTACCAAGAGTAAGTAGGGAATTACAACTCGTTACGCCTCCATCCATCAAGGTGTGGCATGCGGTGACAGGGGTAACGACATCACACTGTAAGCGAAGCTGTTTCCAGGCCATGTCATATGTAGCGCTAAGCTTTAAGATGAACATCCTCTCACAAATCTGGTGAGACGTCTCACAAGGACAGGACGGATGGTGTCAAGGCAATTAAGTCTGCCCTTCTAAGTAAGCGGAAATCACCTAAAATGGCCAGTTTGTCAATCTCAAGCATTAATTGCCAGCGGTGGACCGAGAAGAATTGAGTCGGACAAAATTGAAACTTCATCCTCCTCCCTGAACGGGCGCTTGCGTGTACCTAGGTAAGATGCCATGAGTTAAGTGGCCACAGATTGAAAGAAGTATGTGGTGCTTGGAGAATCTGAGGTGGCCACCTGATCCAATAGATTATATGATATATACACCTAAGATTGAGATATATCAGCGTGGGGGAAACAGCTTTATGTGTTGATATTGATTGGTAGACGGAAGGTTTGGTCAATTAAGTAACCTGTCTACCTACTATATGCTATTCGGAAGAATGCACAAATAGTTGAATATCTGAGGGACGAATGTACATTCCAGTTGACCTTTCCGAGAAATGATTGTTGGTTGTGGAATAGACTAACTGCCTAGGAAACTAGATCGGCCCAAGTAATTCTGCTCTCAGCAATTGGAGGCGAGCCGGAACTCTGATCATCTGTTGGAAGGTGGAGGCAATAGTTTGAAACTTCTTGAGAGCACAGAATATAGGCGAGAAAGCTATTTCTCGAATGGTAGCGTGTTCTCAACTCTTCGTATTGTCACGTTCAGGCGGGGTAGAAGTCAAAGTCTTAAGTTCATATCTCTGTGGAATACCCATAAGGTATCTATTCTGAATATATATTTGAGAAATCCTAGGTATCTTCCAACTTGAAACCAAAGAGATTGTGGAAAAGAGAAACCTTTATGATTGCTGATTTGCATGAAAGTGAGGTTTGCTCCAGTCTCAACAAGGAAGGACCTGTGCGTGATGGAAGGAT